TCCGCCTTGTGATCCTCCAGTCTAGGGGCTATGGATTGCTGGCTACAAGGATCCCACTAAAAAGGAGCAAAGAGCTTTCCCCACTCCAGATTTACCTTTCCCCAACAACCAACTGCACCCTGCTAGGGGTTTGTGGGCTGCTTCCTCAACTCCTCTCCTCCATATATCCGGATGGGTCTTTGGTGTCCACTGTTCTCATGAACATCCAGGACCCGATCTGTCTGAGCGCAGTTCTGTGTTTGTAGGCAAATGTCCAGTGACTACAAACTGAGATACTTCCTGGGGAAGCAGATGACCTAGACGAGTCAGGTGGGCTGGTGAAGGTCAGCTGGAAAGCAGCCTCAGTGCAGAGGAGATGAGAAGGAGTGGTGGGGACTATGTGAACTCAATAGTACCTGCCCCATGTAAAGGGCAGCTGCCCTCTGGTTTGTCCTGTTACCTCAGAGCCGGAAAGAGGGCGAGCATTGTTGTCACTTGCAGTTTTTAGGAACAGCCAGGGGTTGGTTTAATGAGAGATCTCCAAATATTTTCAGTGTAGGCTTAATTTTTATTTTAACTTTTTTATTTCATAAAATTTCAGGCTGGGTGTGAGATGGCTTATGTAATCCCAGCACTTTGGGAGGCCAAGGCAGGGAATTGCTTGAGCCCAGGGGTGTGAGACCTGCCTGGACAACAGAGGAAGACCATGGCTTTACAAAAAAATACAAACATTAGCTAGGTGTGGGGGCATGCAACTGTAGTCCCAGCTACTCAGAAGGCTGAGATGGGAGGATCCCTTGAGTCCAGGAGGTTGAGGCTGCAGTAAGCCAGCATCACACCACTACACTCCAGCCTGGACAAGAGCAAGACTCTATCCCCCCAAAAAATAAAAAAATAAAAGATACAAAATTTCAGATTTCGGATATAGTCAAAAGTAGACAGTAGTTGAATAAACTTTAATCACTCAACATCTTATTTTCTCAGTGCCCTCACTCCTTCCTCCCCCATGATTTTGAAGTAAGGTTTAGACATTATGCTATTTCACATATAAACCACATCACTCAGAAGTGGGCCCATTAATCACATTAGCACAAGAGAAGGATCAGTAGTTCCTGGACACTGCTAGGGTGGAGCGGGGGCGGGAAGGGTCACGTCACAACACAAAGGGTGTCTGGTCCAAAACCAGGGGAAGTGAGGACCATTTGAGGGTTCAGACTTCATCTGCATGCAGCCTACTTGTGTAGTTACTCTTTACTTGTGCCCCACATCTCTAGAATGCAATAAAGTTTAAATTCTTAAAAATTGTATGTATCAATAACTATTTTCACTTTATTAGAAATGTAAGGCTATTATTTGCTCCTGAAGGCTTTTATTCTTATTTTACAATTTTATATTACTATGTTTCTTTTTTAGGGTAGATTGCTGGACTTCAGTTTATTGTATTTTTGGTTTTATATATATATTATAATTTTAAATGACAATTGTTTTATTTTATTTTATTTTATTTTTTGAGTTGGAGTTCACTCCCTCGCCCAGGCTGGAGTGCAGTGGCATGCATGCTCACGACCACCCCAGCGTCAACCTTCTGGGCTCCAGCGATCCTTCCACCTCAGCCTTCTAAGTAGCCAGAACTACAGATGTGTGCTACCATATCCAGCTATTTATTTTATTTTATTGTATTGTAGAGATGAGGTCTCGCCAAGTTACCTGGGCTGGTCTTGAACCCCCGGGCTCAGGCCGTCCACTCACCTCGGCCTCCCAAAGTGCTGGGATTACAGGCTGAGCTTAAATGACAATTTGTAACTCTGTACATATACTTAAAGTCAATGAGAGGTTCAGTTAAAAGATAAATCAGCTATATGAATATCGCAAACTATACATGTGTGAGTCTTTATAAATATCAATCCAACTTTGTTTATGACTCCTCTTGTATATATCTTTTCTCATCTTATTTTCAATGATTGTTTTATTCTCTCTAGCTGTGTAGTTATAGGAACAGACTTCATTTCTCCGTTACTTTAATAATAAATTTATATTTTTTATATAAAAAAAATCATGTAATTTGAAGACTTTTTTAGAAAGTTTCATAACTCTATTTTCTTAGTTATCTTTCTTTCTTTTTTTTTTTAGTTGGAGTCTCACTCTTGTCGCCCAGGCTGGAGTGCAGTGGCATACTCACGGCCTCCACAGTCTCAACCTACTGGGCTTAGGCGATCCTTCCACCTCAGCCTTCCAAGTAGCTGGAACTACAGACGAATGCCACCATGCCCAGCTAGTTTCTATGATTTATTGTAGAGATGCAGTCTCACCAAGTTGCCCAGGCTGGTCTCAAACCTCCAGGCTCAGGCAATCTCGCCTCTACCTCTCAAAGTGCTGGGATTATAGGCTGAGCCACTGTGCCCAGCCTAGTTATCTTTTTAAAAGATTTAATTGTGGTTAAAAACAACATAAAATTTAAAAAATCTTTGTAAGTATACATTTTAATATTGTGAAATGTATACTAAAACTTTCACATCTGGCAAAATTAAATACTCAATATCCATTAGATAAAAAACAAACAAAAAAATTACCACACACGCCCATCCAAAACCAAAAAAATTCCTTAATGTCTTCAAAATCCGGAAACTCTTCCCAGTTCCTCACTTGTCCTAGGTCCCACTTGTCCTGAATATACTGTTTGGTTGATAGGTCTTCAATTTATTTTAATCCATTGGTTTTTTCCCATCGTTTTTATTCCTTTTGCAACATATTTGTTGTTGGACTTTTTTTTCCTCTGTCTTGTAGAATTTTCCCCAAGTGTGAATTTGACTGATTGCATCCCTGTTGTGTTGCTTAATGTGTTCTCCTGTGTGTCCTGCACTTCTTTTGATCATATGTCATCGTGTCTTCCCATAAGGCAAAAGAGTCATATATACAATAAGTTTGTGTTTGTGCATTTAGTGTAGAAAGTAAACACATCTGTGAGACCTTTGACTTACATGACTTCTATGACCTTTGCAAGATGGACTTTGAGGAGATGACTGCAAATCACACACATACCACATATGTGGGACCCACCTTCCACAATGTGTTGTCTTTAACTGTTGTTTGTGTACATTGAGTAGAGTGAGGGGAAAGAGTGATGGTGTTTAGAGAAACATGATTGTAGGATGAGCACCTGGAGTAGGCAGTACCATCTAGTGGTTAGATGTCCATGGCTAAATACAGTAGCTGATCCAACTTTCTGTGTGGCTTTAGGGAATTTGCTTGCTTTCTCTGAGTTTCCTTCTATTAGAAATGGATAATGAGGTTTTTCTACCTCATAGAGAGGTTAGCTATAACAATTAAGGGCTGGGCCGGGCTCAGTGGCTCAGCCTGTCATCCCAGCACTTTGAGAGACTGAGGCAAGAGGATTGCCTGAACCCGTGGGTTCGAGACCAGCCCGGGCAACTTGGCGAGACCTCATCTCTACAACATATCAAAAATTAGCCAGGCGTGGTGGCACATGCCCGTAGTTCCGGCTCCTTGGAAGGCTGAAGAGGAAGGATTACCATCACCCAGCAGGTCAATGCTGGGCTGGCTGTGTGTGTGCTACTGCACTCCAGCCTGGGCGGCAGAGTGAGACTCTGATTCAAAAAAAAAAGAATTAAGGGCTTGATCTATACTTAGTAACTCTGTGACTGGCTTAATATGGCATCTTTTTTAGGCAGCAAAGTCTTCTTTGTTGTCTTTTTCAATAGTATGTTTCCAGTTTTTTAAAAATAAATTCCCAGTATTAAATGAAAAAGTAGAAAGGAAGATGATACAAATTCACATAACCCTGCTTTCTGCTGTGTGAAAAGATGTCATTGCAGCATATCACGTGCTTTTCTTTCACAGCTTCTCTAGCAAGTTCAGGCACGCGTGCTCGGTGTTGAGCCAGACTTCTTAATGTGCCAAACAGACATCTTGAATCTTGACTCCATGTGCTCGAGTTAAGCATTCGCATGGATTAGACTGGACCTGAATGTCGGTTTTGTTGAATTAGAGAGAGAAGCACTTAGCGGTAGCAGGTGCAGTTCTCTGCATGAAGCGTCTGTGTTTTTTACCGAAGTATGTTGTGTTATAAAGGATTTAAGGGTGACGCCTGTCCTTTGCGTGTACTTTTGTGCTGGCTCTCCAATCTGTGGACTCATCACCACTTCTTGTCCCTTTCACTCAACTCTTTTTTTAAAAAATTTTTTTATTTTAAAGATGTGGGTTACAATTCAGGGTTAGGTATACCAGTGTTCATTATGCAGGTACCCTTGTTGATGAGGTGTGCCCCTCCCTCCCCTGGCAGTTTCCCTCAACTGCCAATTGCACACCCGCCCCCAGCAATTTCACACAACTGCCAATCCCTTTCTTACAGTATTATTATCATTGTTCAAGGTTCACTTATGAGTGAGAACATATGACACTCTGTTCTTTGTTTCTGTGATAGGTCACTGAGTATGAGAGACTCTAAATCCATCCAAGTTGCTACGAAGTCCATATGTTTGTCCTTCTTTTTGACTGCATAATATTCCGTTCTGTATATGTAACGCATTTTTTTAATCCAGTCCAGCTTCGATGGGCAGCATGGTTCTATATTTTTGCTATTGCTTTCACCCAACTCTTAACTCTACTTTTAGGCTTTTTCCAGGTAAAGGCAACTAGAGAGTAGCTTGTTAGTTTTTGGAATGTGTATTTGGAGACCATTCTGAAGATTAAAGTTTATTTTCTTACGTATCATCTACTTACTTATGATGTACTTACTTATAATGTACTCTCCAGTTAGCAGATCCTGTCCATCTTAAAACAGCTGGGTGGCACACACTGAGGCAAATACCTGTTGGGATGACTAACCCCCACTAATGCTGACTGTAGTTAGGTGAAAACAAGACCAGCAGAGATGAGCATTGCGTTTTACTCACTGTTCAAGAAATTCTGTTCATCTGTGGACAGCCTTAGGGTGAAGCAAAGACAAGAATCCTGACCTTCTGTGATGAGCCCCTGATGGTGTGTGTCTGTTTTGTTTTCAGGGTGTATGCCATGTACAATTCGGTAAAGGGATCCTGCTCTGAGCCAGTGAGCTTCACCACCCACAGCTGTGCGCCTGAGTGTCCTTTCCCGCCTAAGCTGGCACACAGGAGCAAAAGTTCACTAACCCTGCAGTGGAAGGTGGGTAGCTCCCAGCGTCAAGAATCGTCTCGAATTAATAAAAGGCCAAGTTGTAGCCATTTTAAATACTTACTTAGCACTACTCCAGTTTTGTGATGTGTTTGGTGTTCTACACGTGAAATCAATTATTATCAAAAGTTGTCATGTCTATAAAAATTGGGCAAAAGAGTGAAAGAAGGGAACTGCAAAATACGGCTTTGGGGAGTTTGTAAGTGATGTCAGTATTTAAAATACCTCATTTGCATCACTTTCTAATAGTCTAGTTCATTTCAACAAACATTTGAGAACTTCAAGGTTTTTATAAAGAAAAATTCAGAGATGAAGTAGCTTTATGGCCCTTCTGGCTTCTTCAGTAGTGATGCTCAAGTGCTTAATATTTAAAACTGTCTAGAAAGTTTCGTGTTCTTAACTATATGAAGACTTCATCAAGTTTCACTAATTAGGTCTTGCATTAGTCAAGATTACTAATTACCTAAAAGAGGCAGAATTAGATCGTTTTTATGAAACATAAATTATTGGCTAAAAATAGCTGTTACCCAAGAGATGTCCTGTTGCACCTCCCTGAAGGGCCGTCGCTGTCTTACTCAGCATAGATGTGTGTTTGAAAGAAAACAGTAGACTATGTTATCAGTCTCTGTAGCAGTTATTTCATCATAGCAATATTTTAAAATATAATTTAAAATATGTGGCGGTAGTATAATATGGTTTGGGGAAAATACTAATATATGAAAGAAATAAGATGCCTAGGGATATCCATTATTGGCAAAGAAATGTTTTATCTTTTTATTTCTAGACCAGAGTCAGATTTATCTAGGGAGTTGATAAAAGAATTGAGCTCTAGTGGTTAGCAACAAGGCGTGGGCTTCCGGACATCCCTCTAATCTGGGCAACTACGTTATTGCCAGTGGCCAACATTGAGTGTGTTACTTGGACAAAAAGTTTCAACTGGCTTAGAATCTGAACTATTTTATTTTCCTTCCTGGCTTCCAGGGATAATTCAGGTCAGTGATTCCCTACCTTTTCAGAGTTTTAACACCCAACTGGTCATCATGGGTTAATTCCTTAGTGTATGTACATCCATCTAAAAAAGTGTGTTCTATATTTACACATACCCTTAATGCAAATATATTTTCTTAAGAAATGACTTAAAATACATTTTGTCTGGAAAATATAAGTCTTCTTTAGATTACCAGAGGGACCCCGGGGTCTTACAGACCTGAAGTTGGGAATCACTGATGCATACTCTGCTTAAAACCTGGGTAAATTTCAGGTCTCCTCTTATTCCATTCGGTTGTGTACAGACTTGAAAGTCCTGTTTGGTTGTGTGCAGACTTGAAATGCCCTTAGAACAGATTCCCTGATCGTAGGACTCCAGGTGGTAGCTCAAGGACAGGGGCACATGCTCTGGCTGCCAGTTCGTCCTTGAATCTACAGGGACGCTGAGAGAGCTGAAGATCTTCTGCATCTTCTTGTTCGTCAGCAGCAGTTATGACTTACACCGATGAGGCAAAGCACAAACCTGAGTCAGGAGTTAAGGGACTAGCGGTGGGGTAGGATATCACCAAAGAAACTCCCAAAGAGCACATTCCTAGAGGAATGTGTGAGCCAGCATAAACATATTCCCGTCTTAGAAATGGGGTCTCAACTAAAACTTTGATTTTGTCAGTTATTTAGAATGTTAAATACAACACTGCCCTATTTTCCAGGCACAAAAGCCTGAGGCTGCAGTTTAGAATTTATAGCATACACCCAAGATTTGAGTTTTGGGATTCAGAAATTGTGTAACTCAGAAGGGAAAAGGAAGGAAAGGAGAGGAAGAGAATTTTGTTAATAATTTAACTGACAATTCTGAACCCCTGATGACGACTTATTGTTCACTGTAATAGAGCAACACCTACTGTTTGCTGAGTGCCTCCTCTCGTGAATAGTTTAGTAGGTAATTTACATTTTCTCCCCATTACTTATCACAACTATCTATTCTTGGAACAACTAGACATTGGCATTAAACAGCCAGCACTAGACCACATGTGAAAAATAAGCAACCCAGCCCAGCCAGGTTCAGATGCAGCTCTGGGGAAGGAAGTTCAGCTGCTTTTTCCCCGGGGTAAACCGGGGGCTGTTTGCTGGGCTCCTGCTTGCTCTTGGGAAAGAGCCAGGACTGGGCACATTTTAGAAGTGGGAGACCTGGTCCTACTCCTCTTCCAGTTGCTTCCCCCACTGCTTCCCTGTCTCTCTCAATCTTACTGCACTGTTGTTCCTCGGAGGTACCCAGTGCTCTGAAGGTGGCACTCCTAGCAGGGCTTATCCCAAAAGTACTCTTTTCCCGAGTTCTCTACTTGCCTCCCATTGTTTAAAACCCACTTCCAAGGGGAAGCAGATCTCAGCATGCTTTTAAAAGGAGAGCACGTGATGAAATTTTTTTTTTTTTTACTAACTTGTGAAGGACTAATGTAGCCTCTTTAGTAATCTATCCAGAGGATCTCATTTTTCCTCCTCTTTTTTTTTTTTAAAGAGGAACCTTAATGCCAGAGATGGTTTTCTAATTTTAAATACTTACTCAAAAAAAAACTGTAGGAAGAGAGTTACAAAATAAAGACTGTGCCCCATGCCCGCTGCCCCCAGGGGTGTCTGTATTTCTCAGCTGCCTTTTTTCCCCTGTATTTTTGACTTTAAAGTGCCTCTTAAAAGTTTTATGCGCAGAGGAAGTAGGGCACAACGAAGGGAGTACAGGAAAAGGTGGTGGGCCAGCAGGTCGGGCTGCTTGTGGGATGCGGTTTAATTACTAGTGAGGACTCTGCAGTTGAGCTGTAGTAAGGTTGATGTGTGATAGTGTTTGACCAAGGAAGTGCAGGAACCATTGGGTTTATCCCCCTGAAGGGAGAGCACAGCGCTATCACAGATATTGTAAGTGAGCCAAGTGGTTCAGTTATATGTTTTTGTCTGTGAACAGCTTTATTTAATTTAATTTTATTGTCTTTTTAGGCACCAATTGACAATGGTTCAAAAATCACCAACTACCTTTTAGAATGGGATGAGGTAAGCTTATTTCCATGTTCATCCATCTAAATAAAACTGCTGAACAAATACCAACTTATTCTTTTATAAGATTTGCTAAACACAGAAATGAATGTAAGTAGAGAAACATTTAAATAAATAGTTATTGACTGAATAATGGATTTGAAGCAGTATAATGAATTGTGAGTTAAAATATATATGGACCTGGCTTATTTGCAAGCAGCGCTACCTAAAGACATAACAGATTTAGACATAACTGGTTTGGGTGTTGGGTGTCTAGTTAGCCATTAATTTGCATTAAAAATGCACTGCTTGGCAGGGCACGGTGGCTCATGCCTATAATCCCAGCACTTTGGGGGGCTGAGATGAAAGGATTGCCAGAGCCCACAGGTTCAAGACCAGCCCGGACAACTTGGTGAGACCTCATCTCTACAAGATATCAAAAAGTTAGCCAGGTGTGGTGGCACATGCCTGTAGTTCCCGCTACTTGGAAGGCTGAAGCAGAAGGATCGCCTGAGCCCAGCAGGTTGAGGCTGCAGTGGCCGTGAGCATGTCACTGCCTTCAGCCTGGGCAACAGAGTAAGACTACGACTCGAAAAAACAAAACAAAACAAAAAACACTGCTTTGTCCTCCTGACTGCTTAGTTGGTTTTGATGAAGTAAAACCCCTGCGACCTGGGAAGCATGTCTGCTTTTTCCTCTGTGGGCACATATGTGCTTTATTCCTGCACTTGGAGCAGGATGTGGAGGCCACACTTGACCCGTGTACAAGCACCTTGGGGGTTAAACAGTCATGTACTAGGTGTCCTCTTGACTGTTTCTGGTGCCAAAGGTCCTCAGGTGGTGTCCTCTTATTCTCAAAGCCAGCCTGTGCTGACTGACGAGCAGCCCGTGTACTTCTGGCTAATGCTGTGCACAGAGTCTGAGGCCAGAAACACGTGATGCAGCAGGCTTTCGTTTCTAAAAAGTAACTGTACTTGTTCCTGCCAACCTGAATTCTGTTCATTCATTTACCTTCACCGTATCTGGTCCTCCTGAAGTTGGACAAATAGGTTGAAGATTTTAGGCATAGGTAATATGGACTTTAAGGGGGAAATGCAAGTTAACTAGTCTTTGTGATCTAAATTTGGAGGGGGTGAAAGATTCAGAACAAAGTTTTAAACAAAAAGTGACTTGGCAAGTATAGAGGAGTATTTTAACCAACTGAAAACCAGTTGGGCTTCTGCTGTGAAAGAGGGATCCATCATCACTTTCTGCAGAAATGTATTTTCCCACCTGGGCTGCATCTGAGCAGCTGTAGGCAGACTTACGGAGCCAAAGACAGCCATCTGTTGTTCCCAGATTCCTTCTGAATAGCTTGTATATGCAGGATGGAGAAACCTCAAACTAATCTGTACATGCCACAGATTAGGTGAATTTCATTTCAAGGTGGTTTGGTTGCAAAGTGAAGCCATCTTTCCAGCCTATATAGATTCTTAAGTCAGGAGTGTTAGAAAGGAACTTGGGTGACCTGTGAGCACATAGTAACATCTTCCGTCTCCCACTCCTGTGTAAGGATGAGTGAGAGTTTAAATTAAAGTCTATTTTTAAAAATATGTTGATTTGTTGCACTGAACTGATACTTTTTCTCATGTCTTGAGGTATAGAGACCATCAGTTAAGAGGAGCTTTTTAGTTTCAGCTGCCTTCTTCGAGCATTGTGTGTGTAGGGGTGTTTTCTGTGTTTTTGCTGTTTCTCTGCCTAGGGCCATGATCTCCTAAATTGAGGAAGATCAGAGAAGTTGAGTACATACTGGCACAGGAGACCTCCCAGGAAGACTGGGGTGTTGTAGGAAGTGCCCATGGTGGCTCAGTTGCTGGCCTTTTCCTTAAAATACTACATGAAGGTGTCTTGGCATGATGCTAAGCGGGAATCCACCTTAGCCCCCGATGAAATGGAGAGGCCATGCCTGATGACTTCTATTCTCTAACCTGCTTCGGGGACTGATGGTCCTCCTCGGACTAGCAGTCTGGAATGTTCGGCGTGGGGCTTGGCCTTCTGTATTCCTCCTGTTTGGTCTTTGTTCGGCTTTTCTTCTTTCGCATTCTCTGCTTTGCTCTTTCCTATTCCTTTTCTCTTCCAACTTCCAAATTCGTACTGGTGTGGGCTCTGTTGAGCCTTGCTGGAGATTCTAGATTAATTGACACTCACCTACCACAAGGCTTTTGCCATCAGAGGAATCCTCTGATATTCTACATCTTATTATCCACCTTCTAGAAAAACTCCTGGATCCCAGACTCTGCTGCACTCTCTAACCATTGCATGCAGTGAGCTCCCTGGCAGAAGAGGGTGATTGAAGGAACACTGAGACTAGGAGACAGGGGTTCTGTTCCACATTTTATCCTGGACAGCTTGGCTCTCTGGTCCTCAGTCTGCCACTCCATGAAATGGTCATTCGGTTACTTCAGCAGCTGGTGTGCGTTTACATTATTTGTAATGTAAATAATCTGTCTCAAAGTAGATTATTCAGCCTTGTCTCTTCTGACGAGATAATGTTTTGGAATCCTTTGCACTGTCGTTTGGCCCATTCGTTAATTATTTGACAGAGCTGCCCCCGTGCCTCCTCGTTGTACACTATCCTGTGAGGGTCCTTACTGGGTGACTGAAAAGGCTAACAGATGCTTATCTCCTTGTTTCACCTTTAAATTGACACAAATAAACGAACTTTGCTTGCCACCTGCTTCTCAAATTTTCCTGTCCAGTAGCTTCTTTTGTTTGTATTATACCTCTCTCCTTCACAGTCCCCATATAAAGATTTTTAAATGGTGTCATCGGCTTTCCCAGCAATGAGAATTCAAGTAACAGTAGCCAGTTCTCGCCTGCCCATTCTGTCATTTCAGAAGTGACGTTTCTGACAAAACAGTCTGACAGTCTGTGCTTCTAACTGTGTGACTGGGTCGGGGATGGGTAGCCCTCTTGGGGCCAGCTGGCCTAGTTAGTTTTTGCACCCCACATTTCTAGGCCTTGACTCGAAGGTAGAAAAGCAAGTGTGCAGAGGAGAGCAGCACCTGGCCTGCAGGAGGTGTGAAAATGCGAGGCTCTGGCCATCCCTCTGAAGCCCTCTGCTGCAGTTCCTAGGACTGCTTCCAGACTCTGTCCAAGTAGGGGCAGCAGGCGGCAGGGCCGAGGAATGGACAGGAGATGTGTTGCTGGAATCACTCTCTGTCATCGCCTCCCAGGAGTCAGAGCTCTCTTCCCCTCTCTAAGGACATCTGCCCCATCACACGCCCACAAGCCCCTCTGTCGTGCTGGAGGGCCGCAGAAGCAAGCTTAGATTGCAGAAAGACTGTGGGGTACAGAGATGCTGGACCACTTCCCATAGTGAGGCGGGTCCTGTTTGGAGTCTTGAAGATGGCCACGTTCAGGAATAGCATTCTGCCTTGTCTCTGCTCTGGCACTTGGTCTGAGAACCTGGCCTCTCTGCATGCATGCAACCACTAATGTCTGGGGATCCCCTGTGACCCATATTTCTATTACTGTACAACAGCACTGGGTAGAGTCCCAGGGCACTCTATTCTTTGGTTTCTTTTTTAATCACCTTTCCAATAAAATGATTAGGGTAAACATTTGAAAGCTTTGGCAAAGTAAGAACACAGGGCATCAAGCCCAGCTTTCAAGCCTCGTAGACAAAAGGGGCAACAACCTTTATTTCTGCTAGGATTAGAATGCTGTACTGAGTTGACCTTCCTAGGAAGATCCATCTGCATCAGTAACTGACTACACACTGGGCTTGAAAGCACCAGGACAGGTGGGGCCCCAACGGGGAAAAGAAAACAGGATGTGTCCAGTCCAGGGGAACGGGTATGCCATCTCTCCTCCCCTAAATTCATTGTCATTAATTTCACATCATGGTTGCATAAAATTCACTTGGAAATTACTCCTTAATAGTTCTATAAGCACATTAGCTGCCTGCTTTTTCCTCTATTAATAACTAACTAGACAACCCATTAATCTTTAAATAGATGCAGGAAGTAACTGTGACTTTGAAATGGTAATTAGCATCTAAAAGTGGAGCATACAGGTGTCACTGGCTTTTCAGCTGTGGTCATCAGTTTTGAGTTTCACCTGAAACAGTTCAGTTTTCGTTACTTGGAAAGGTGTGGCCTTTCCTGGACAAGTTCCTTTGTGGTAACTCATGATTTAGTGTTTGGAGCCATGTGGCTTGAGAGCTTGCCTTGCATTTTTGTAGACCTTCAGCCACTGTTTCTTCCTTGGGAGACTCCCCATTATGGGCCGAAAGGCGGAAGGTCATCTTCAAGACAGTTTTTTACTTGACTGTTAGATGAGTCATCATCACATTTTGATTTCCCAGTATTCCCCCCCTCCGATGTTTGCATTTTAATCCGCAAGTGATAGTCATTCTGAAGACTGGCAGAAAGCAGGTCGGAAGCACCTACAGGTTTCTATCTGCTGGATATGAGTATTACACCCAGTGCTGACTTAAAAAGAAAAGGGAACTCTTTCATGAATTTAGTTTTGGTTTAGTGCAGAATCATGATGCTTAGATCGTTGCTTAGATGCTAGACTTTTCAAGGTGGAGCTTCTTTCCCCAGTGGAGAGTTGGTGGGCAGGGAAGATGGACATAGTCCTTGAGGCACGCCACCCCATTGGCCACCCGTGCTAATCCCTTTGACTTCTTGTCTCCTCCTTGGGCACCTTTCTGAGCTGACTTGCTGCTGCTTTGCTTCTCTCCTAGATAACATATGAGAATCTAGTGGAGGCAGGAGTTTTTCTCTAGAAGAAGCTATGGGGAAGGGATTAAGGATATAGAGGCCTTTTAGGAAAAAGAATTAGGAACCACTGGATTGAATCATTGATAAGTGCCTGTCTAGTATGTTTTAAGGTTTCTAAATAGATGATCATCTGGCCTTTTCCTTGAAAACTTGAGTAAAGGGGTTAATGTCATAGTTAAATAGGAGCTTTCTTTTCTATTCTAGAAAAATTGAGTGTTATAAAGGAAGTATTTATGGAAACCTAGCTTG